GTTAGAACCTTATTGAACGAAGCATCACACTCTCACATAAATCTCAAAAAAGATATAGAGCCCTCATTAATCGAGTTGTATTCAAATACCAGCTTACTATCACCTAACATTTCCGTTTGGTAGTTCTAAACTATTACAGGGCTCACTCATAGCATTAGCTTGTTCAAATTAGAATTAACTTGAAGTTTTCGTTACTTCCACATCTTCAACATTTTAAGACTCTTACACAAACACTTTTTCAACCTACTATCACACGCCTGGAAATCATTGTTTGTTAAATCAGACATGTGGAATATGCGCACGAGTAATTGAAATTAGTACGAAAGAGAGTGAGAGTAGTTACATGTGGGAGTAGTTTTCAGCCAATGGAAGATTACGGTAAATAATGCATGTGATACGGAAGCGCATTATATCTTGACTAGGTGCAAATGATGAACACAAGGTAAACTCATTAAAAGTTTATCATCTCTATTCCATTGATCCTCCTTAATTATGACTTTGAAACAAAAAAGCTATTTTGCACCTTAGGCCTCGGACATCGTTCACGCGATTTGATCGTCGCGATTCAATCGCTACAAGACAACTGATTAAATAAATAAATAATAATAATAATTAACAATTAATTAATTGAGCAACTACAATCGATCATTGCATGCCGATCAGCTTGCATTTCGGTTGTGATACTTTTCCAGCGAAATTTTTTAATATAAAATGAAAATGAATGAAAATTGCGGCGATCAAATCGCGTGAACTCTGTCCGAGGCCTTAGAGGTACCGTACACCTAAAATGAGGTGTTTTTTTGCAGGGTGGGGCAAAAGTCTGGGAACTTCGTACGTTTTTAGACAAAATCAGAAGGAATGTACATAGAAACAAAAAATTCGGTGCACACATAAATCGAACCTTTAGAAATGCAACACTGCTCTCGAGGTTGCCTTTTCTGGCTTTAAAGCAGCCCTTCGAGATCTAAGCGAGTCCGCCTGTCATGGCACACAGACAGAAAAAATTCCTACTGTACTGAAATTCTGAAATACTGAAATACTGAAATACTGAAATTCCTCCCACGCCTTCAGATAACTGTTTCTTTCACAAGGCAAATGTGTGGCATGATAGAGCAAGCTTTTGGCCACAACGTACAGCGAGGGAAATTTTTTTGCAGTGTTTAAGAGAAAAATTTTGAAGTTTTTAGTGAAGGCAAATGCACCCGCATACTGGAAATCTGGATGCGATTGCGCGAACGGGAGCGAAAAATCATAGCCTAAAAAGCATTGTAATTCCTCCTTCGATCGAAATCTAAAGATGCTTATACAGAAGACTTATGGAAAGAATATAGCCTAAAATTCAGTGCTTGCTGCGCTCCTATAGTTTTCAAATTCATTTTATAGACAAATGACCACTGGCACGCAGGTAGTATTCGCGAATTCTATTTTGCGTTTCCGAAAGAATAGTATCTGACAAGCGCAATACTACATTTTAATAGCGCAAAGCCTCCTCTACACTGTGTGCATCGAAGTGCCTCAAAATATCCACTGTATCTTTAGCTACCAAATAAGTTGTGAAGACCAAGAATTTCGACTTTATCGCTTTGCAGAAACATTTGTTTAATAAATCCAATTCCTACAAAGGTATATGGCAATAGCCAAAGTGTGGTTTGTAAAGAATGATTGCAGCAATATGCGGCACAGATTTGGAATCAAAATCATTAGTAGTTTCTCGACATACAGCACTGCAAACTTGGCTCCCAGACTTTTGCCCCACCCTGTAATTATGTATAGTGAAGCCCTAACTAAGCTTCGCGCAAGTCTCGCTGCAAGAGATGAAATCCAAAGCGAGGAACCGTTCCAACAGATAGAGGCGGTGTGTACGCTGGCTCCGCCTAACACCCATGTATGCAGACAACATTGAAATTGGGCTTTAATGTATCCAAAATTGTCATAAACCCGCCTGTCATTAAAAACATCAAACTTGCGACCTTTCTACCCTGAAATCAATTTCAAACTTGTATACCACTACGCTGATAGGCGGAGCGAGCGTGGCCTTTTCCTCCTTCATGAGCCGTTTTCTCGCTTTGATATTCAAATGCAGCGAGACTCGAGCGAATGGTTAGCTAATAGCCTCCTATCATATAACATTAATTCTCATCACCTTCTTGGGTAGGCAGTATCTTCAACAAGAGAAGAAAGTCATTTGTCTTAATATTCGGTGAAAAAATATTGCCTTTTTTTGAGCTACCTGCAAATAACGTACAGTAAAAATAAACAAACATTTTCAGTACTAAGCACAGATATTTTCTTCTCTTCACAGCAACGGTGTTCTGAGTGCGAGGTATTTGTGCCGGAAAATCGCTGTCTAACTCTTCGTTTCCATCATGTCCACATTTCGCTAGTTTCCGAGATTTTCGTATGAGACTTTCGAAGATGCATTGATGGCTAGCTGTGGGGTAAACCTTTTGCAAATCAAAGCAATTTTTTGTGATCTCTGGCCTTTTAGAAATTTCAAAATGCTTTTTGAAGTGACCAGTTTTCTGTTTAATCAAACCTCGTAACTTGAATTTGTAAAATCAGGGACCAGTTGAGGTACCTTTTTCTCTGCTTTTTACCAACCCTTCTCTCTTTGCGAGTTCTCAGCTAGCTAGACACTCAGCAGACGAACTCATTTTAAACTGCGACGAGAGGTCCACTGCGGTAAAAAGAGGCGCTCTTACTTCCCTGATAGAGCTTACGCTTGTTTTTTCTGTTTTTTGTCGCTGTGTGCTGCGTTTAGTGGAAAATGCTCGTAATTAGAATTGATGATTTTTTGGTCGTTGAAAATTGTTCATATTGCTTTTAGGTAAGTTGAAAAAAGCAATATGGAGAATCTGTAGAATCAGTGAAGCAATACTTCCGCACTTGTTGCAATCAAAACAGAAGCTGTGAGTAAGAATTCCAAACTTATCTAAACGTTTCTCCAGATTACTTGAGATTAGCGCAGAAACGAGCATAGCAGCATGAAACGTCGTTCAACAACAACGAAATCGTCGATCTTATTATGAACAATGTTGGCACATCAAAAGCAGAGACGAAAAAAACAGAGACAAACTGTGTAAGTTTGAACTAAGGGTTCGTGGTACTATACGGCAACCGGTTAGTTGGCATTTAAAAACCTGTCTTAGCGTATTGACGATACGTGCATGCAAAAGCATACATGCATACAGCATAGCATACAAATGATGTATTGCTCAATCTTACTAGCATGTTGTGTTATACTCTAAATTTCAGAATCTTTTATTTCAAAGTGAAAATCTATTTTGTAAGATCGCTATGTTAATTTATTAGGTTGGAAACAAACACTTTTAAGTTCTGCATCTGCTTTCATATCTTTACTCTTTTTCAATACGGCGCATTCTAACTTTGGCTGTATGTGGATCTCAATGTGGGCACAAACATGCAAAAACCATTTGATTATCGATAACGAAATAAGAAAATTACAGACATTTTTCGAAAATTAGTAAATGGGGATTTGTGGGGTTATGCAAAAATAAAGCCGTTAGCAACCCAAATCGTGCACAATGATTCGAAATTGCATGTGAATTATTGCTAGAGGTAGACTCATTTAGCTTAGTAGAAAAGGAATAAAATTGAAGGGCAAATCGAGATCTGGCTTCCTCACAAAGTTGAAGGAATCGCTACGCGCAAGGCTGGTGGAAACAATCATCAATGCCTAAGAAGCCGGAACCTTGAAATTCGTCAAATTTTCGCATAGTGGGGTTATTTGAGCTGCCGAATACGAATAACATACTCATTTATTGAAACAACGCCTCTTTACTTGCTGAGGGTTAAATTGCATACCATACAGTTACAGTATTCTTACAGAAGAAACCTCTACAATACAAATTCAGTATGTTTTTCGTGATCAGCATGTCGGATAACGCCCTTACATCAAGTTTCAACCAAAACCCTGATGATTTGCAATTTCCCTTGTCATGCCATATACCTACCGTAATCATCGCTGCGACATCAGAATTTGACGGGACAACAGCTGCGCTTGTAGCTTAGATCATAATTCATACATTGGCATCTGAAAGCGTCATGTTCCAACGAGAGAAAAGTTATCGAAGGAGTTGCAAAAGTTGGTTTCCAACCTAATAGTTTTGGAACCTTCACATCTTGGAAAGTCTGCAGCGTTAAAGCAAATTCTGAATAATGTCGTCGAGAATTTTGCTCAATTATTCAGCAATTTTCAAAAACCCAGCAGGAGAAGACAAAAAACTGTTTTAATCCAAAAAAAGGTTGACACTATCTGCTGATTATAAGAGCTCCTTCAGAAACCACGGACAAAAAAATGTGGACATTGGCAAAATTCAGACACTTAAAAATGAAGATTTGTAAAAACACCAGTTATCGCAGCACTCGTATAACAACCCTCATAATCGACGTAGATGACTGAAACATTAAGAACTTCTAAGAAGCCACCCGATGTGTTCGCTTATTTTTATTGTACTGAATTTGCGGGTAAGTTGTAAGTGGCAAAAACCTTCACCGACCTTATAGTTTAGGTTAGCGCCAAATTCCGTATATCAGCAAAGGTCTAAAACGCATCGCTTTCTTAGCAGTCGATTCTAAATACTAAGGCTTCTGAACGGTGCTTGAATACGCCAGAAATTTAATATCAAAATATCCAAATCTGCAATTTTGAAAATCAGTTTTCAACTCGGAAAAAACTATGAAACGGGTTGTCAAAAGAAACAAAGTGTAGTGTATTTACGGCACCACCCATGTTCGTCAACTGATGTATGGAGCGAGTTACTGCCAAAATCGAGAACCTCTTTTTTCGCACAGATTCCACTTACAGTCTTTGCCCGCACGAGGACGACCGGATTCAATGCGGAAATTCAAACATGAGGCTGCGCGTTATGGATTATATGGTCATTGCATGTGATATTTTGCATAGCTAGGACTAAACTACGTACACCACAAGATGCCAGAAATTGCTTGTACTGAAATTTGAAAAGCTACAACAAATTTTACTTTGGTCGTCTACGTCTAATCCAAGTAATTACAATCATTTCTTTAAGCTTGGCTTCAAAGTGTTTCGTTTCCTAAATTCCAAGATACTAGATCGGCGAAATACCATAACATTACTTAAAATAAGTGCACGAAAGAGCTCAGTTTAAGCGCTCAACCTATGAAACAGTTTACACATATGAAACATTGGGTGAAACTGTGATTTCTCAAGACGACTAAAGCAAGAAAATGTGCTCATGCGGTGACTTTCAATGTTCTTTGATCGCGTTCCACACTTTTATTCTTTCCACATTGCACTTTTGGTCTTCTGTAAACTAGTTCTTCTTCTTCTTGTTCTTCTTCTTATTCTTCAGCTTTTTGCTCTTCTTCTTCTTATTCTTCTTTTTCTTGTTTTTGGACGATGCTGGTTTCGGCGCTGGTGGTTTTGGTGCTTCTGGCCCTTGAGCCACTACTGTTGTTGTTATTGGCGCTTTTGTCGGCTCTTGGGGTACCATAGTTGTTGGTTGTGGTGCTTCTGTTGGCTTTTGGGTCACCATAGTTGTTGGTTGTGGTGATTGTGTTGGCTTTTGGGTCACCATAGTTGTTGGTTGTGGTGCTGTTGGCTTTTTGGTCACCACTGTTGTGTTTCCGGGTGCTATTGTTGGCTTTTCATCCACGCAAAGATTGTTTGAGCAATAAGCAGGACACAGTGAGCATGGAGCTCCCTTTACGTACAATGTACCGTAGTCCAAATTGCCGCTAAAAAATTGCTTTTTGATGGGCTAGCCAACCATTTCACTCACGATGGATCATAATTGCAGACGACGATGGTTTTGGCACCGCAGTTTTGAACTGCACAACCAATGGCAGTAGTAGTTTGCCATACCATCTGAAGCAGTAAACTCGTTTCATATTTCATGGGGCGGCTGCCTACGCCGACCGCGGCACTACTAACCTGTGTGTAATGGCCAACTCCTTTACCCCACAGGGCATCACCGTATATAAGGTCAGTCCCTACGCCGAACTCTTCGAGCTCGGCGAACCACCATCTCGAAGCCTAAACGGGCTGATTTTTGTTCCAGAAAAAGTAGGCTGTGCAACTTACTTCTTCGGCGGCCTCAACTTTACTATCGAAAGCAGGAGTTTGCATGAAAAGGTTTTCTCCAGTGTATTTTCTTGCCTCAAGGGTCCTATGTTCATATTGGCACTTAGCTGCGTGAGCAGCTGCGATCTTTTCTACTTCGCAGTCATACCTCTGCAACAACAGTTGTTCCAGTGCGATGATAATTGGAGCTTATAAAGAACAGTACAAGCTTATCCATGGCAGCAGCTGGTGGCGCGTAACCTCCAAGCCCGTCTTTAGCTCGTCCAGAAGCTACCAAGGCTCTGTAAGATAAGTGTTAAACGCGGATAAATGATCACTGCATGATAATAAAGTGCTGCCGTTCCTTTTTGTGCGTATATTTGTATGCCAGTCAGATAGGAAGTTCACAGAAAGGGTAGCAGTCAAGTTCGAGAGCCACATTTTGGCACAGCATACAATATTCGAACATACATTATTCAGCGATATTCGAACAGCAAAGCTAGGTCGCGCCGCTTTGATATTTTTGCGAAATCATGATTTTGCTTGACAATTAAGTTTGCAAATCATGGGCTTAGGCACAAAAATCAAGAATCTTTCTTGGGAAATGTAGCGCCATGCGAAATAGAAATGAAGCACTGTTGCTGATAGATAAATGCAGTCATGTCCCAAAAATCGCGAATCTTCAGTTTTTCTGATACAACTTACCTCAGCTCGTTATGGACATCTAAGAATTTTTGACGTATAGTATCATCCATGCCATTGTCATTTGTCGGACAAATAGCTAAAAGAATTCAATTCCTTTTTTCAGCATGATCTATAGGATTTTATGCGTACCTGCATACGACGCAGTAACAACCGAAAGCTGAAAAACTCTTTAATGCTTGTATAGAAAAAATTTGTGCCGAAACACTCACCACTATGAGGAGATACATTCCTTAGTGAAAAACTTAACGACTAGATTTCTTTTAAGCTTAGCTTTCAGACGTACTTTCACTTTTCCGGACAGCACGAAAGCTGTGTCATCTAAAATGTGACAATGGAAGAAAGAGAAAAAAACAATGGCGTTTTCGATTACGCACCTGTTTCTTTTTGTTGAAAATAAAGTCTGAGAGAAGATTAACGAAAATAACGAAACAGAAAAGTGCAACCGCAGTATATGACTTATTGATACGAACTTTTTTTATACCTCAGCTGTTCAGATTCGGAGATTTATAAACTTCATTAACATTATTTTGATTCGGTAACATTACAATTTCTTCCTGAAGCATGTTCTTAACAGTTGCGTTCCATATTTGCACTTTGCACTTTATTTGTACTTCTACGAAAACTACGCGTAGATTCAAAAACCCTTACTATTTTTTGTGCTTTTCTGTAAGGTTTTCGAAAATTTTATCTTTTCAAAATCTTTGTCCTTCATCCTTTGCAAACCTTGGGTATGACTCCTTCTATACATTGTCAGCATTCAAGGGAAAAGTAATTTACATGATGCAGTTTTCGCAGTGTATTCAACAGCTTTTACATGCGCATACCAGTGGCGTACCCCGGATTTCGGCTCGGGGGGGGGCGACAAAAAATTTTTTCTAAAGAAGGTGCGTGGCTAACGCCACGCACTCCAAAAAAAATTTTGGGGTGCTTCTCAAAACTTTTGCGGGTCCCCGACTCCTAAAATCTAGTAAAAGGGGGCGTGGCTGACGCCACGCCCCCGAAAAATTTTTTTTACAGAGCTAATTTGAATTTTTAAAAATTTTTAAAAATTATTTTAATTATTTACAAAAATAAACAAGTCACTTGCATATTTTTGTAACCCATTAAGTAACTTTCAAAAATTTCGCGACCCATTCTCGGGGGGGGGGGGGGGCGCCTTCCCCCCCGCCACTCCCCTCGGTACGCCACTGGCGCATACGTATGTAATCTCAGCTCTAGCAAAGTGCCAAGCGAATTCAAACTTCATTTAGCAGGAAAAAATGATGGTTGAGGTAGATAACTAATGACACGGGTATAAGGATGACAGGTACTAGGCCGTAAAGAAAGTTTCCGGACATTTGCAAAATTTTTTCAAATTGCTGTAACTTCAAGCAGCTGGCTTTTCATCACCTCACTGCGGTCCACCAGCATGATCAGAAGGGAAAAGGGTCGTCCCGAAAAGTGGCCTATTTGTGCAGGATTATCTCAGGCACGATGAAAGCTGGACAGCTCAAATGCTGTAGTTATATTGATGTCTGCTGGGGCTGTTATGGAGACTATCTAAGCCTTTGAGCGACCACACATAAAAAAATTTTTTAGGAAGTTTGAAAAATCGATCATTTTTGCCAGTAAAAATGAACCATTTTTCAAATAAGTGACTTTGGAGTCTTGTCGTTCTGCATAGGGTGTTAGCAAACAACTTCACAGTTCAACAATCCAGCATGTGGAATATAATTCAGTGCCTGTGAAGCATTTTGGAGTGGTTTTCCATAATTATCTCGTTCTTTAAAGAATGTGCACAAACTGACTTGGAGCTTCTTGAAATGCTTTTCGTTCATGCGCGAGCTCCAATGGCCTACACAAAATGTATGTTCGCATAATGCCTTGCCATTGAAGGGCATATTGCATGTTCCACGGTACAAAGTTTTTTCTGCTTTCTATTCGTCACAGTAGCAGCAGAAGTAAACCCATGAGCTATAAACCTAAAATCACTTGTCTCGTTCTATATCGCAAGAAAATGCTTTAGAACGTCATCACAGTGTTTTTGCTACGTTCGCCATTATGACGAGCGAAGTCCACAATATGTGAATACGTCAGTTTTTACTCTTATTCAGTCAAATTCTACTCTCTTGCTCTGCTATCCCTCTTTTCCTTCTTATCTGCCGTACTTTTCGCCAAAGTGCTTATTCGTTGCCAGGTGTCAATTAGAGTTTTGAGCCCTGAGACCTGATTTCAGTTTTCCGACTAATTTGCATGCCAATCGATATCTTTGTTCTATGGTACTTCCCGCCTTGTTGCACTACTTCCATCGACATGCCTCCCAAAACTGCAATGCCTCTCAAATCTTTAAGGTCACGCAATACTCCAAAATCGGCTGATCCTGTTCCTCAGCCACAACACGTCATGGATTCTAGTGCATCGCAGTTTCGCAATTTTAGGCGTCGCAACTTCTCGCCTCGCTTTCGCCCCAGAGCACTCAAGTGATTCTCGTACCGAATCAATTGTTCAGTCATTCAAAAAACTCTTAGATCTTAATATCCCTGAGGTGCGAAAAATTACAAATGAGATTCTCGTGAGGCTTGGAGAGTTTGGCAAGACTGTGATCGAGGCAGATTGTAGGTCTAGAAGCATCCTTATAGCAGGCCTTCCTGAGCTTAGGGGGGATGGGCGCACCGAACCAACTGTTTCGGTGCGTCAAGAGGATACAGAGAAAAAAGTTCGTGAGGTGTTAGATGTTCCTGATCTGGAGTGTTGGCCTGGCAAGATCTTTCGAATGGGGAGGAAGACGGCTAGTATGCTGCGCTTGGTAAAAGTAGAACTGCCATCAAGGAGTCACTGGGCCTCCGCTCCTTCCCGGGCCCACTGCTCAAAGATTCCCCCTGCCACAAGGGGGTATACATTCGACGCAGCATGGCGACCCGCAAAAGAGAAAAGGAGCGTGAGTTGAAGGATCAGGCTAGGCAGCTGAATTAGAATCGTAGCTTTGAAGAGAGATTTGTTGTACACAAGGGTGAACTGGTGCTTGCCAGTTCATTGACCAACAACAATGTTGCTTCTCCTCAATCAGCAGTTGGCTCACACCGCGTTTCTTCTGCAATGCAGGGAAACTGAATTGTGGGCAAGGAGATTCTTTACCATGTGTTTTTTTCAATGCTAGGTCTTTATTTAACAAGTTGCAACTGTTCACCATTTTTTGACTACTAAACTCACCAGTATTATTTTCATAACGGAAACATGGTTGTCTTCGAAAATAAGTGATGCTGAAATAGTTTCTGATTTGTCTTACATGGTTTTTCGGTCTGAAAGATTACGTAAGAAGGGGGGGAGGAGCTTGCATATTGATCAAATCAACGCTATTATGTGAGAGCATTGTAACTGAAAGTAACTGCAGTTGTGAGATAAAGTTGGTTGATGTATACCAACCTGGCACTCTCTCCAAAACCAGAGTCATATGTGTCTACCGACCTCCCAGCTCCGCCTCTGATTCAGATGATATGCTTGTTGACCTCCTCTTAGCTTCTATCCATTGTACTCCGGATATCCTGATCGCTGGTGATTTCACTTTTCCTATGAGATGCTCTGGAGACTCACTACAACATATTTCTCCACAAGTTCAAAGATTTTCCGAGTTTTTTCGCGACCCTAAGCAATTCGTTACGGTACCCACTCGCGATGGTACCATTTTGGATTGGGTACTATCAACTGCTAACTCAGCACACAAGCTATCAGTCAAGGCACCGTTTGGTTACACCCGATCACAATATCATTGAGTTCCTATATAAATTCCATAATCCAAAAAGTAAACTTATTCCATTTCCATTTTCACTAGAATTGATTTCGAAGCAATGAAACATGATCTCCACACTCTTGATTGGGAAGAGATTTTCTATCAGTATATTGCCCCCTCTGACGTATGCTACAGATTCTGCTGTGTTATGTATAATCTACTGGCCAATTATACTCCAATTCGTGTACACAAAATTGGCTATTTACGATACTCGCCTCACATACAGTAAAGTGTTTGTTTGTTTCTGCTCCAGAAGGAAACACTTTTCAGAACTGCTCAATATAATTGCCCATTGTATAGTAAGGTCTGCTCTGACGTAACATTCCACATCAAGAAATTCTTCTCTAATCACGAAAGACACCTGGCTTCGTCTAATCACTCAAAAAATCCCTTTTCTTACATCCATCATATGCAGCGCGCACAATATCACGGGGCCTTGAAGGATACGTTGGGCAATACTTCAACAAATCAGTCCAAGGCTTCCATTAGCCCAGTTTTTTGCGAATACGTTTTACAAAAGTACTCCTCGCACTAAAGGATTGGCTGCACCTCTGAACCATACCTGCTCAACACCTATGATCGTGCCTTCTACTGTCGAAAATTTTCTTAGAACCCTAAAACAATCTACATTTGAACCTTTTGATGGCATACCTCAGATTGTTTTCAAGCGTTGTACAAGAGAGCTTTCGGTCCCCTTGTCACGTATCTTTGATATTAGTTTCATTTGTGGAGAAATACAGGGCTTATTAAATGCAGTGTCGCTTAAATCAGCATTTTCAGTACCGCGCTGGACTCTGCATACCTGCCGCAAACATGCTCTCTCTGATCACATTCCCAGGGCAAGCATGGAAAAAGCGGAGCCTCAATTGAATGGTAGTGATTAGAGAGCATGTTCGCGGAAAAGACGCAGGGACCAGCGTGGGATTGGAGATGCTGATGCAAGCGACGCTGCGTTTGATAAGTCCTGTACCTGACATCTGGAAAGAATCAATTGTCACTGCAGTTCCAAAAGTTCCCAACCCTCAATCTGTGACAGAATTCAGGCCTATAAGTACAAAATCCAGTACCGTGTAAAGTTCTGGAAAAGATAATTCGTGACAAACTTCTTTCTTGGCTGAAAAGGTTTGATCTCATTCCGGCTGAACAACATGGGTTTGTCAGCGGTGCATCCACTGTAATCCAACTAATAGATTGCAATCATGACTGGATTAAGCCATAACTTGATAAGAAGGTAGTGGACGTTATATGCTTTGATTTGTCGGAAGCTTTTCACCGTATAAGTCATGGTAAATGTTATGTAAGCTTGAGCACTATGGTATCAGGGAACCCCTGTTGAGTGGCTAAAATCATATCTTACTCCAGATATATGACGGTTCGGGTGGGAAGAGATCATTCTGGACGTTTTCCTTGCCAAGCGGACTTCCGCAGGGCGGGGCTCTTTCACCATTGCTATTTCTAGTC